CGGCCGAGTGGCGCGATGGTTAAGAACTCGCTTGGGACGCCAGAGGGCCCCGGTTCGGATCCCACATGTGAGGGCCAGTGACACTGCCCTCCACAAAAAAAAAAAAGAAAAAAAAAGAAATTCCAGACTAAAGAATGAGCTCCTTGATCAATTATAAGAAGAAAACTGAGAAACACACAAACATGCAAAGGCTAAATAACATGCTACTAAAGAGTGAATGGATTAACAATGAAATCAAGGAAGAAATCAAAAGACACCTTGAGCCAAATGAAAATAAAAACACAATGATCCAAAATCTAGGGGACACAGCCAAAACAGCTCTAAGAGGAAAATTTATAGCAAACAGGATATCTCAGGAAACAAGAAAAATCTCAAATAAACAATCTAAACTTACAGCTAAAGTAACTAGAAAACGAACAACAAACGGAGCCCAAAGTAAGTAGAAGGAAGGAAACAATAAAGTTGAGAGTGGAAATAAACAAAATAGAGTCTAAAAAAAAACAAACAAAAGAGCAAAGAAACCAAGAGCTGGTTCTTTGAATGATGAACAAAATTGATAAATCTTTAGCCAGACTTATCAAAAAAAAAAAGAGAGAGGGCCCAAATAAATAAAATCAGAAATGAAACAGAAGTAACAGCAAATACTACAGAAATACAAAGGATTATAAGAAAATAACACGAACAAATTACATGCCAACAAATTGGATAAATTTGTTGGATAAATTTCTAGAAACATATCTTCCAGGACTGAATAAAAAAGAAACAGAAAATCTGAACAGATAACTACTAATGAAATCAAATCAGTAATAAAAAATTCCCAACAATTAAAAGCTCCTGATTGGATGCCTTTGCAGGTGAATTTTACCTATCCTTTTCAAACTATTCCAAAAAAATGAAGAGGAGGGAAGGCTCCCAAACTCATTTCACAAAGCCAGCATTATCCTGATACCTAAACCAGGTAAAGGCACTATGAAAAAGGAAATTATAGGCCACTATCCCTGACAAATATAGATGCAAAAATCCTCAACAAAATATTAGAAAACCAAATTCATCAATACATTAAAAAGATCATACACTGTGATCAAGTGGGATTTATTCCTGGGATGCAAGGCTTGTTCAATATCTGCAAATCAATTAATGTGATAAACTGCATAAAGAAAATGACAAATTAAAGACACATGATCATGTCAATAGATGCAGCAAAAGCATTTGACAAAATCCAACGTCCATTTATGACAAAAACTTTCAGCAAAATTGGGATAGAGGAAATGTACCTCAACATAATAAAGCCCATATATGACAAACCCACGGCTAATATTATACTCAACAGGGGAAAACTAAAAGCTTTTTCTTTAAGATCAGGAACAAGACAAGGATGTCCACTTTCACCACTTTTATTCAGTGTAGTATTAGAAGTCCTACCCACAGCAATCAGACAAGAAAAAGAAATAAAAGAAAGAAGTGAAACTGTCATTATTTGCAGATGACATGATACTATATAGAGAGCACACTAAAAAATCCACCAAAAAACTTTTAGAACTGGTAGATGAATTTAGTAAAGTAGGAATATACAAAATTAATATTCAGAAATGGGTTGCATTTTTATACACCAATAATGAACTATTAGAAAGAGGAATTAAGAATACAATCCTGATCGGCCGAGTGGCTCAGTTGGTTAAGCGCTCGCTTGGGAGCACCAGCTCTGAGCCACAGGACTGCGGTTTGGATCCCATATTGAGGACCAGTGACGCTGCACCCTCTACAGCTAAGATGGTGAACAACAGCTCGACCTGGACTGGGCTGCTGTGAGTCGCCGGCATTGGCGTAGGCTGCAGCGGGGCTGCAGTGGGCTCTCGTGAGCTATGTGAGTGGCTGGCAGCCGGTGTGAGCTGCCGTGAGCTGCCGTGAGTGTCCGACCAATGAACGGCGACCAATTGCCTCAGCTGGGAAGAGTGCAATGATCATACCAACATGAGCCAGTGAAGCGAAGTCCTCCACAACTAGACTGAAGAACAAAAGGACAACAGCTTGTCTGTTCCACTTCCCCAATTCCCCAACGCTGTTTCCCTCCCTCAATTCCCCAATAAAATCTTAAAAAAAAGAAAAAAAGAGAAAACAATCCCATTTACAATTGCATCAAAAGGAATACAATATCTAGGAATAAATTTAACAAAGGAGGTAAAAGATCTGTACTTGAAAAACTATAAGACAATAAAGAAATAGAAAAAGACACAAATAAATGGAAGCATATACCATGCTCATGGATAGCAAGAATTAACATGTTAAAATGTCCACTCTACTCAAAGCAATCTATAGATTCAATGCAATCCTTATCAAAATAACAATGGCATTTTTCAGAACTAGGATAAATAATCCCAAAATTTATATGGAACCACAAAAGACCCTAAATAGCTGAAGCTAATCTGTTCGGAAAACTAGACAGATACCTGTAAATTAATGAAACTGGGTCACTTTCTTATACCATATACAAGAATAAACTCAAAATGGATTTTATTTTGGAAAGACTTAAATATAAGCCCCCAAGCCATATAACTCCTAGAAGAAAACATAGGCAGTAAACTCTTTGACACTGCTCTTAGTAATATTTTTTCACTATGTCTCCTCAGGCAAGGGAAACAAAACAAAAAATAAGCAAACGTGACTATATCAAATGAAAAAGTTTTTGCACGGCAAAGGAAACCATCAAAAAAAACAAAAAGACAACCTACTGAATGGGAGAAGACATTTGCCAATGATACATCCAGTAAGGGGTTAATATCTACAACATATAAGAAACTCATACAACTCAACACCAAAAATACAAACAAATAATCCAATCAAAAAATGGGCAGAAGACCTAAATAGACATTTCTCCAAAGAAAACATACACATGGCCAATAGACATATGAAAAGATGCTCAACATCACTAATCATCAGAGAAATGCAAATTAAAACCACAATGAGAAATCACCTCACATCTCTCAGAATGGCCATCATCAATAAATCAATAAACAACAAGGGTTGGCAAGGATGTGGAGAAAAGGGAACCTCGTGCACTGTTGGTGGGATTGCAAATTGGTGCAGCCACTATGGAAAATGGTTTGGAGGTTCCTCAAAAAATTAAAAATAGAACTACCTTATGACCCAGCAATTCCACCTCTGGGTATTTATCTGAAGAAATCCTAAACACTAATTTGAAAAGGCATATGCACCCCTATGATCATTTCAGCACTATTTACAATAGCTAAGATATGGAAGCAACCCAAATGCCCATCAATAGATGAATGGATAAAGGTGTGGTACATATATACAATGGAATATTACTTGGCCATTGTATCTGCCATGAAATCTGCCATTTGCAATGACAGGAATGGACCTAGAGGGTATTATGCTAAGTGAAGTAAGTCAAAGAAAGACAAATACCATCTGATTTCACTTGTATGTGGAATCTAAAAAACAAATAAGTGAACAAACAAAACAAAAACAAAATCGTAGATACAGAGATAAATTGATGGTTGCCAGATGGGAGGTGCGTTGAGGGGGCTGGATGAAAAAGAGGAAGGGATTAAGATGTACAAATTGCCAGTCATAAAAACAGTCAAAGGGATGTTAAGTGCACCCAGGGAATGTAGTCAATAACATTGTATTAACTATATGTGCTGTCAGATGGGTACTAGACTTATTGGGATGATCACTTTGTAAGTTATATAAAGGTCTAACCATTATGTTGTACATCTGAAAATAATATAATATTGTATGTCAGCTGTAATTGAAATAAAAAAAAAAGAACAAGCTCCTCATAAAGTTTAAGCACAACGGGAATTCCATGTTTGCTCATTTGCTAAGTAAGTTCCCATTGGCCACCCTTTTAACAAAAATCCAACTTTAAATGTGAGGTGTTTCAAAATCCAAAATGCCAAACCAAATTCTCCTTACCTGTCAACGGCATTTCTGAGGAGCTGCTGCAAGTCCACCTCCTGCTTCCTCAGGCTTCCAAACGAAGACTGACTCTCCACGAGGCCTTTGCCTCCGACATTCATCTTCACCTTCCCCAGTGCCGTCTCTATGGTCCCACTCACATGGTTTTCAAACTTGCCCTCGTATTTCACAAAGTCTGACTCCACGACCACTGGCGTGAATGAGACATACAAGGGAATCTGATGAGCATACGGCCACCTCTGTGCCTCAGGTCACCTAGCTTTCCAATCCTGTGGAGATTCATGGGAAACAGGAGGCTTGCATTCAAAATTGGAAGCGGGCAGCTATGCTGCATGTATGGGCAAAAGGAAATGGACCGGGCACACCTGGGCGCTGACTGAGAGCACGGTATGAACTGGTGGCCAGGAACTTTACTGGGTGCTTTTTTTTTTTGTTTTTTCTTCATCTTTCAATTCTAATATATACATATACAGAAAAGTGCACAAATAGTATCTGTAGAGTTTAATGAATAATTTTAAAGCAAACATCTTTTTAACCACTACCCAGGTGAAGAAATATACAATTTTAAATGTGTGTGTTTCTAGGGTGAAGGGACTAGACAAAGATGACACCTAAACAGAGAGAAAATAGTAGACCCCGCCCAGGACACACACTCAAGCGGCCTGCATTCCTCAGTATCTGGCAGGTCAGCCACCGGGACCAGTCCTTGGGCATCTTCCCTTCCCACCCACCAGTCTTGGAGAACATTCACCTGGCTGTCATTACCATCTCCCTGCAAATAATTCCCCTCCCAGGCTTACCTGTTTATGTCTGACCTCTACCCGGTCATTCGATTCCTTGTCATGCAATTTCTTATCTCTGCCTTCCTGACACAGTCAGTAGGCATGCTCTCCCTCCCTCCGACACCATCCTGGAACACACAAGCTCCAGGCTCTCCATTCTTCCTGGCTTCCCAAACACTCGGGAAGATGCTACCACCCCCCTGGTGTCCCAGCTTCCATCAAGTCTCCTGGGAATTGCCATGTTCCTCACCTGGCCATATCCAGATGATTGCTACAGACTGACTGCCTTCGAGATCTGCCCTTTTGATCTGAACACTAAAGATAAATATCAGATGATCTCATACATGAACTGTCAGCCTTCTCATGTCTCCAGGTTTGTACTGTTCAGATTTTTAATCACACTGAATACCACCATAAAAAACAGTTTCAGTCATCATCACTCAGCAATAGACATTGAGAGTCTCTTAGGAACTTCACACTTGGTGTTTTCTGTTTCCCTGACCCAAGGCTCTCCTGAGACCCGGGTGTGACTTCACAAGGGATTCAAATCCACTCGGAGTCTGAAAGGCTTCTTTCTTTCCGTTCGCATACTGCTTCCAACACCAGTATTTCTCTCCCTCCAGTCAAGAAAACCCATTCCTCTGGGCCAGCTGAGTGGTGCGTTGGTTGAGTTGGCTTGGGACGCCAGCTCTGAGCAGCAGGGCCCCGATTCGGGTCCCAGATGAGGACCAGTGACACTGAGCCCCCTATAGCTAAGATGGTGACCAACAGCTCAACCTGGAGCTCGGCTGCTGTGAGTCACTGGCGACAGTGCAGGCTGCAGTGGGGCTGGCCGGCAGCTGGCGTGAGCTTTCATGAGCTGCCGTGAGCTGCCGCGAGCAGCCATCCAATGGCTGGCGAGTGACTGCCTCACCCAAGAAGAACGCAATGATAATACCAACACGGGCCAGTGAAGTGACATCCTCCACAACTAGACTGAAGAACAAAAGGACAGCAACTTGTCTGTTCCCCTTCCCTGATTCTCCAATAAAATCTTTAAAAAAAAAAAAAAAAGAAAACCCATTCCTAAACCAAGGTTAATGAGACTCAGTTGTCATTCATTATATTTCCCATTTACAAAGTAAAGAATCATCTCCACCACGTCCACCAGAAATAGGAAGCCTGTGAAAATGTCCCAACTCAAACCTTTTCCCATTCACATCTTGTGAATTACAAACACTCTGGGAAATACTTTGGAAAGCAGCATAGATAGAGCAGTGTTAAGAGCTCATGATTTTATCATGACTCGAATACTCCTACCTAGGAGACCTTGGGCAACATTCACCTCCCTGAACCTCAGGTTTACCACATATAATTTGGAGATATTGATAACCCCTGCTAATGGATTCTGTTTCAAGTCCATGTATGTAAAAAGAAAGTAAAACAGAGCCTGGCACATAGCCAGGGATCAACCCATCCACTGGGTTTAAGCCAGAACAGCGTCATTTCTGATAAACAGGGCAGTCCTAGGTAGTGCTACACAGACAGAGATTCTACCTTCAGGTCACAGTTCTGGCCTCAGTCAGGTTATTGCCACTCCTGGAAACTCTGTCCCTAAGACAGAGGACAACCAACGCTGTATAATCCAAAAAGCCACTCTAGACACCTCCAGAAAAGATGTCATCTGGGCACACTTCTGCCTCATGTCATCAGCTGCTGCTGGCAGAAGGGAATGAGTGAGGAAACCAGCAGGCTATGGTCGGACTGTCAACAATCAAGTCACTATCCCTCCAACCTTCACACCCCCTGGGCAACACAGATACTCCAGTGTGTCGGGAGAGCCAAAAACTTTAAAAGGTGAAGTGTCCTTAATCCGCTCAGCAGACAAAATAAAGGGCATCTCTCATCACAGCCCTAACATCAACAGGTGAGCTCTGGCCTCAGACGGTTAGCACACTGGGGGCTTCTTCATTGGCAGTGACTACAAGTGACCTCATCCATCCAATGCGAGTCTTCATGAACGTTCAGGACACCACAAAAGAGGTGCTTCAACAGCACAGAGCAGTGAAATTGCAATTACTCAGGAGTCTGTGGCCTATTCTGTGAATTTTTTTCTCTTGTCCCTCAATAGAAGTTCTATTAGCAATCCAGCAGTTGCGGGGAGAGAACATAAAATGAATATTAATTCATTTGCCCATTGCTTGACAGCTCTGATAATGAGTCTAGCTGAAGAAAACACAGGCTACAATGCTAGTCTAAAAGAAAGTTTGAGTTGACAAATTATCTCCTCTCTCTCTTTTCCCTTTTAATGGAGATGCAATCACAAAGTTACAGAGATGTAAAGCTGAAAGAAGACGCGGACAACACTTAGTCCAATAATTAACAGGTGATGCTACTTTCACATATCATCATGTTCTGAAAAGTACTGTAGTAATGAGTACCAAAAGTCTTCAAAAGTTCCTAACTTCTGGTCCAGTAATTCCATCTGCAAAAGTGCTAAGACAATTGCTTAAAGGAAAACCAAAAACAACAAAAATTTAGACAGACATGTTTACTGCAGCCTTATCTATAAAGCATTAAATTGGGACGGTTAAGCAAACGAAGATGCATACATACAAAGAAATATTATGTGTTTATCAAAAGCTGTGTTAAAAATAGTTAAAGCTATGAAGGAAAACTTATATAAGGTGAAATAAAAAAATAAGGAGTATATAAAAATTACATGTATTATGTTTCCAATTTTGTTTACAAAAAATTAGATGCAGAGAAAAAAAAAAGACTGTCATTCAAGTACTAATGGGAATTAATACTTGGTAGTTTTGTTGATTTATCTTCTACATGCCTTTCTATATTTTATAAATACTCCACTGTAATAATAATGAGTCTGACTCCATTTTTGATATTTGACTGCTGACTGTTTTCAAGCCTCTTCCCTTGCTGTTACCCATGTGGGCAAGCTGGTAAGAAACCCAAGTGTTCCCTCCATTGGCACCAGCAGGAAATTCAAACCTTGCAAGCCTCACTCAGCCCCCAATCAGGACCCTCACCCCACCTCCTCATCACAGTGAAAGCTGAGCCCATCTCCTTATCCCCGCTTCTCTCCAGCTATTTTTGGGCCAGCTTGGGAGCCTGCCACGCTCTCCACAGAAAGCTTCATTATGTGACTAATACAACATGCCACACCCTCCTGATGGGTAGGTGCCATCATCAACCTCAACAGCGAACCAGATTTGGAGAGGTAGATCCATCCCACTGATGCTGAATGGCCATATCTACAATGGGTATGTCTTACTTTTATACCCCCAAATTTAACAGTATTTTTTAAAGATTAAGCTATAACTTTTAATGGCAGGCATACAGAATTTTGTTCATTTTAAGAATACTTTTAAGACTGTAGGCAAAGAAACAGGAGAAGTCATTATAAGGCATCATCTTATAATCACTCAAGACAACATGTGTCTAGAAGAATCATCTTCTGCCCTGGGACTAATTATAGAATATAGCAAATAAACATACCTGGACTCAGGAATTGGTCTTCTGTGAGCACATCTGCAAGGGAGACTGATAAAAACTGGTACTTGGGTCTCTGCCAACACCAGAATCTCTTTTTTTTGGTCACCAGACTTAGAAGTTGTAACTTATCAGAGTCATTCAAGTTTGATACTGCAATCAGGTTGCCTTCGGCATCAACTTCTTTAAGAAAATTCCTTGTGGCTTTGGCAAACATTTTGAGAGCCCTGGATTACCTGAAAAAAAATAATGTTACCCTCAAATTAAATAAGAAGTCATTATTTCATGACATGTTTTTTCTAAAATTACCTTATTTCTCCCTAGTCTTGATCAATATACATGAAAGAATACTTTCTGTCTAGAAAAGCCTCTAGCTTGAGTTCAATAGATGACAAAGAAATCAAACTGAAACACTAAAAGAGAAACGCATATGTGTATAAGTCAGGATAGGTGAGGTTATGCTTCAAAAGCAAATAAGTTACAAAACTTAGTGACTCATAACAATGAAGGTTTATTTATTGCTCACACTACACGTTCAATACAGGAGGGCAGGAGAGCTTTACTCATCATACTCATTCAGAGATCCAGACTGAAGGGGCAGCCAGCATCTTGAACATTGTCAGTCATCGTCCAACAGGGAAGAGAGCTCTAGAAAGTCTCACACCAGCAGTGAAATGCCCTGGCCCCAAAATGACACACATCATGTCCACTCACAATCTGTCAGAGCTAGTCACACAGCCTCAGCCAACCATCATGGCGAGGAAATGCAATCCCACCAAGTATCTGGAAGGTACCGGGGAATCATTGTTGGAAAACACACTGGCTACCCCAATTTGCATCTTACTCATTACCACTTCTTTGAAGGGTCAAATGTGCTTTTTCTCTACATTGTGTGATTTTCCCTTGTCATAAATGCAAATTAACTAGCTATTATAACTTTTTAACCCAGAAATGATTTCCCAGTCACTCTACAGCTGTAAGAAAAAAAAAAAGAGACACATGGAAGATATAAAAATACTAGATTCCATGAACTAAGTACAGACCATTCAATAAATAGTGCTAGAACAACTGGCTAATCATCTGGAAAAAAATAAAGTCAGATCCTGACCTCAGGCCATACACATAAGCAAATTCTCAATGGATTAGTTGGTTTTTGAGGGAAAATGAAACCATAAAAGCACTAGAAGAGAAATACAGACTAATATCTGTATAATTGCAGGATGAGAAAGGCCTTTAGGAAGACAAATGAAAAACTGAAAAATACACTTGTAATATTTATAACAAAGATTTAGAATACTTTATATATAAAAAAACTTTTACAAAGGAAGTTTTTAAAATACTGTAGTAGAAACATGAGCAAAGGTTATAAACAATTCACATAATTGACATAAAGTACACATAGTCATATATGTGTATAAATACGTACCTATGTGTACACACACGAATATACACATCTATAATCATTATTACTCATAAAAAGCACAAACTAAAATAAGATTTTTTTAAAACTATCTATGGCCAAAGGTTAAAATGTCTAATGGACAAGAACTGTGTTTTATTTGTATTTGTACTCTGGGGTCTAGCAGTCATATAGATAATAAAATTATAGAGGGTGAGCTGGGAATAATCTTGGACATTAGCTAGTTCACCCCACATTAAGATGAATCTGCTTTAGAGAATCAGAAAACATTTGTCTTACCTGTCACTAGTTCTTCTCTAAAGTACCTTTTCTTATATTATGTAGCTACCTACCCCTGTTCTTGTATATTAACAATAAGAATGAACATTTAAGGAAGGGATTCTAAAACATGAAAATAGCTTTTTTCCTGATAAACAGTGAAAAAGGAGAAACCAAGGAAAACTAAGTACTATGCTCAGGCTTTCATCTCTAATTAACCTCTCACTATACTAAACATAAGGATTTTACATGCAAAGGAGCATTCATTTGTTCATTGAAACATTTATTAAATCATTCATTAATTATTCTTCAGTACCTACTATATCCAGGTACCATTTTTAAGCACTTAAGATATGGAGACAAAAAGTAGTCTCTGTCCTTAATAAGCTACAAATTTGGTGGCCAGATGGAGAAATAAGCGGTCAAGTTTTAGGCTAGATATTGACACAGATTGCGACAAGGAATGAACTAAGAAAAAGGCATCTAAATCCAACTGGAGAGAACACAGGGTCACAGAAGTCAGCAGCATTGAGCTGCATTTTGTGGGCTAGGTAGAAGAAGGCAGGCAACGAGCACTGTGAGGGGTACTCTAGCTGACCAGCCACAATTCTAAAAGCCCAGAGTTTGCAAAAGGTGACAGAAGGGTGGGGGAGATAGTGCAAGGCAAGATTTGTGACCAGCAAGCTCATGACGTGCAGGAGACATCGTTTTGTGTTGCGGTACCCATCACCACTTCCTTCACAGACCTGTAATTGCTTTTCAAGCTCTGAGACTGGCTCCTGCACTTGGGTGCAGGGTTCTAGAGTGGGGTAGGGCGAAGGACAAGAATGAGGAGGCCTCTGCCCAGGTCTGTGGAGGACAGACTGTCCCATGACGAGACTGCTGCTGGACCTTTGGGCTAGACAGAGATTGCTTCCCATTGACACCCTCTGAGACTGTCTGATTGTAATGGATACTTTTCTTCTGACACAAACCAGTGCCTCTCCCTTGTGTCTTATAGGTGCTCTTTCCTGGAACCGGCCATTGTTTTGACCGGGCAAGCATGGAAGGCATTTTCCTGCACCTGGGACGAGGCGCATACCAATTCCCCCTCCATCCTACCCTGTTCTATATAATTCTTTGGCGCCTGCCACGTGACCTGGAGGATATCCACTTTGTCTTGCAGCCGGCCCAAGACGTGTCTCGTAAGTTTCCCTTAATAAACTCTGTAAATTGACAGACTGGAGTGGCCTGTCTCCTTCTTCAGTCTGTCTCTGCCCTCTGCTTATAGAAATAGGTCTTTCAGTCTAGGGGTTTTTCCCTGGGTCTGCACATACCAACACGGTCCTGAAGACCCATGCCTCTCCTACTGGGAGCCAAGGGGGCAGGAGCCATTGGAGGGGTTGGATACGTAGCGATGTGACCAGAGTGGTCACTTAAAAAGAGTTTCTGGAAGCAAAATAGAAAACGAGCCAGAAGGGAACACGATTAGAGATGGGCAACAAATGATGCTGCTGACCTCCGCCAGTAGCATAAGGATAGAAAAGGTGCTTGTTGGTGGTTTCTCCAGAATCTAGTTGGACGTGAGGGTGGTAACGAAAGAGAGGGGACTCCCTAGGATGGCCTCCAGGTAGCTCAGGTGTGGGCTGGCTGATGAGATGGAGATGTCAGTTAGCAAGGGAGGAGATTCGGGAAGCAGCAGAGGGGTAGGGAATAATAAGACAGTAACTGCTGACAGCGTATCTAGAATAAGGTGCAAGATTTATTTTGCCAAACACAGGGAAAGAACTTTTAACAAAATAAGGTCTCCCCAGTGACCTGTGGGAATTCACCTTGCTTGTCCAAAAGACGAGCTGAAACAGAACGTGCCTCAGCTTATCATTGGTATCAGGATGTCTATTTTTATGGTTTCTCGTCTTTTCTGGGACAACCTGAAAGGAAGTTCACTAACTTGCCTTCAGATCAAACGGGTTCCTGAGGAAGCAAAATCAGATTTGCCATTAAAAAACATAAAACCCATCTGTTGTGGATGGCAAAGCCTTGGTAATGACACCAATTCTCTCCAGCGGGATTAGAGGCAAAAGAAAAAAAAATCCTAAATTAATTTCATTTTTTTTTCCACCTAACATCAAACATAGCCGATTTGTCTTCTTGACATGATAGGTTGAGTTAGGAAGGGTTAATGGAAATGGCTATTGCTTTGTAGATTTTTAATAAAATCAAGCTTATTCAATCAAGGAACTCTTTGAGAATGTTCTCCTTGTGGAGTTAAATTAGAAGTTGCTTTTGTATTATTGTATCGGAATATATAATATATTTACATGGCTTAAATATCTAAACTGTGTAAAAAGATAGACATCAAGAAATCCCACCCCTACCCAGGTCCCATTTACTCTTTCACCCCTCTCCCCTTCAGGTATATTACCTTCATGTTTCTTTATACAAATACCAGTAAAAAGGAGTCAACACACTGTTCTACACCTTGCCTTCTGTCATGTAGCAATATATCCTGGAGATCTTTCCATGTTAGTATCCTTTTTATAGCTGCATAATACTCCACCATGTAGATGTACCTTTGTTTATTTAATCTGCCCCGTATTGCGGATTACTCAGGTGATTTCTAAATTTTTGCTATTAGAAAAATTCCACATTAAATACTCCTAAACATAGGTCTTCTCTATACATGGGCAAGAGTTACACAAAGGGACATTTCTAGAAGAGGAATTGCTAGATCAATGGGTAAATGTAGGTATGATTTACAGGTTGTGCCATGTTGCAGTCTCACCAATAAGATATGAAAGTGTAAGTCTCAGCAATAGAGTGTGTTATCAGGCTTGTATTTTTGTCAGTCTCATAGGTGAGAAACGGTGTCTCGGTATAGTTTTTTTTTTTTTTTTAGCTGAGCCACCCTGCCACCTGTTGGCAGCTCAGCGGCTGCTCAGCTCGGGCCAGGACTCGAACTGTTGTTGCTCAGAGCTCAAACTCTTGAGCGAGCTCTTAACCAACTGAGTCACTCGGCCGGCCCCCTTGGTATAGTTTTAAGTTCTGTTATTTTAGTATAAATGAAATCAAGCATCTTTTGCTTAAAGCCTTTCATATTTCCTTTTCTTAACTGTGTTGTTGGCATATTTTCTATTGTTTCTGGGGTCTTTTTTTTTCTTTATTTCTAGTAACTTTTGATATAATAGATAAGGCAAGATATAAACTAGAAATTTAAGCAAGAGTTTATCGTGTGGCATTGGGAGACAATGAGCTGCTATACCGTCTCAGACATCTAAAGTAACTGTCTAGCCAGGAAAAGTTAAATAAAATGCACAGGGCCAACCGAAGCATCTAGAACCCACGCTGCCTGACACAGACAAGCACAACAATATCTCAGTTAACCAGAAGTCAGACTTCAGATTCATATTTCCAGAATGCTGCAACCTAGAAGTAGATGAAAATGGGCTCATGAGAGGCCTAGCTCAAAATTCTCTTGACCAAAACCCCACTGCATTTCACAGCTGTTCTACCACTGATCCTGAGCTCTCACACAGGGCCTTAAGAATTCTATTAGTGGGGCAGCTGGGTGGCTCAGTTGGTTAGAGCGTCTGCTCTGAACAACAAGGTTGCCGGTTTGATTCCCGCATGGAATGGTGGGATGCGACCCCCTGCAACTAGAGTGAAAACGGTGACTGGACTTGGAGCTAAGCTGCACCTTCCACAACTAGATTGAAAACAATGACTTGACTTGGAGCTGATGGGTCCTGGAAAAAAACACACTGTTCCCCAATAAAGTTTAAAGAAAAAAAAAAGAATTCTATTAGCAAACAGTCCCTATTCACCTGCCTACGGGGCTTCCCAAAGCAGAACTCAGAGAGCCAAAGTGAATGTGGTCAGGATATGCAAGCGTAAATCAGACTCCTGGACAAGAGATCTTGAAGGACAAGATCAAGAAACCAAGACAAAGACAAAGTCAGAAAAGCACATGGCCACTGGCTCCTGGGAGCAAAGAATCCTAAAAATGGTTGCCAAGGTAATAATTGCATGAGAAGATAC